GCTTGATCTTTGCCCTTGAGAGTACTTTTTACTTTGAAAGCCTTTTGTCAGAGAAAGGAGGAAGGAAAAGCATTTTATTTTTCAACCTAGCACATCCTTTTAGAAATATTTTCTCCAAATTCTACTTGAAAATTGAACAGTTCCTTTTTTTAGTTCATCTCTCTCTTGAAATCCCTTATCATAGGCAGCTAAAATAAGCCAATTGGCATTTTCAGTACTCTGCCTGGAAATATATCTAGCTAAATTCACAACTTTGTTAGATAATATTTCTGGCTTACAATTCATCACAGGTGATAGCCAATACATCACTCAGGTTTCCCGTGTTCCAAATGCTAACAGAAACTTCCCCACAACTCTTTCTTACTAAGTTTCTTTCCTCTAACCTCTACCTGCCACTGAGTACCATGTTACATATTATAGGTTTTTGTCATGGTGGGACCCCACTTCTGGTACTAATTTCTGTTTTAGTTTAGTTGTTCTTGTTGTATTTTGTTGTTTTCTTTTTGAGACAGGGTCTCATTATGTAGCTCAGGCTGGCCTTGAACTCTCTATATAGCCCAGGCTGGTTTGGAACTCATGGTAATCCTACCTCAGCTTCCCAAGTCCTAGGATTATAGGTATGAAACACTATGCCAAATGATCTCTCTTTTTCTCTCTCTTCAGTACTAGGAATTGAACTTGCCAAGAAGGTGCAGTGCCACTGAGCTGCATCCCCAGCTCTCTCTCTTTTATTGAGCTATAATTTTCATTTTCAAAATTTTTTATTAGTACATGTTTGCAGTACATAGATGTACATTCCTTTTGTGGACTTGGTACATGTACATAACACATCTTAATTCCTTTTTTCATTGTCTTTCCCTTCCCTCCATTCCCACTGTCAATCCCCTCCCCATTTGAGAAAGATCTCCTACTTCCAACTATCTATCTCTTATTTTTCCTCTTTATTTATGACTTAGACTTCTCATATAAGATAAACCATGTGATACTTAAGCTTCCTTATCTGATTTATTTAAATTAATATTATGGTCTCAAAGTTCATCCATTTTCCTACAAATGACTCAAGTTTATATGTTATTTTTTAAATTTATATTTCTTTACAAGCCCAAGGTTCTTTAAAAAACTATGGCAAGCTTCTAAGGAGTACAAAGTCTCAGTATGTAAGTATCAAACTTCTGCTAGCACTGTGCTTTCTAATGTCTTACTAGCCCAATCAAGTCATATGCCAAGACCAAAACTTTAATGAGAAGGGATGCACAAATCCATAAATAATGGGAGGCGTTATTGGGGACCAATAATATGTTAATATTCTACCATAGCCCTTGCTGGTGAGGTATCTGCCTTCCATAATTGTAGTAACTTAGCAGGTTCTAACTGAGTCATATGCAGTAGTGTACTTCTGTATTCCCAACTACTAGGGGCAGGAAAGGGATTGGGCTGAGTTCAGAAGATTACAAGTTTGAGCCCAACCTGGGAAATTTAGCAAATTAGTGAGATCTGGTCTCAAGGGGGTGGGGGCTGGGGATTTAGCTCAGTGGAAAGGGCCTAGTTTCAATCCCTAGTAATGAGAGAGAGAGAGAGAGAGAGAGTCATAGAATGTTTTGTAACCTAACCCCCCCCAAATTAGTTGATTAGTTGGGCCAATCATACTGTTCTATAAATTGGAATTGGGACACTAGGAAGTCAGGTCACTTTAGCTAGGGAGAACTTTGTGAAAGGACTTACAAATTTGGGAGTGGAGACCATGATTTGGCGAATTAAGGAAGCTAACAAAGGAGCAGAAGTAGATCCACAGGAAAAGAAGACTAGAATAAGCATACACAGAGAGACAAAGATGAGATAGATCTTATTGTCCCTGAGAGCTGTGAAGAGCAGACTTATTCCTGACTTTCTGTTTTACATGAAGCCTTGTTGAACTTTATTTCCTGCCCTTTTATGTCCATGAGAGAATCAGCTATATTCTCATAATAAAATACTCTTTACAGTGGACCCCTGACTTACAAACTTGATTGGTTCCTGAGGGCTGGTTGTAACTAAGTCAATGCAGCTGACATCTGGATATTTACCTGGGTAGATACTATAGATAACAAGAGAGAGATGAATCTTCCATTCTTCCAATAACCTAATTAACCCAAGTTGTTTGTATGTGAGGCGAGTCATAACTTGAGGGTCCACTGTACTTGCAAAATAGAATATGAGTACCTAGGGCTGGGGGAGTAGCTCAGTGGTAGAGTGCTTGCCTAGTATGTGTGAAGCTCTCCTTTTGATTCTCAGCACCAAACACACACACACACACACACATATTAGAGCCAAATCATAATGGCTATTTATTTATTTGAGATAAGATCTTGCTATTTGCCCAAGTTGGCCTTGATCTCATGATCCTCCTGCCTTAGGCTCCTGGGTGGCAGGGGTTACAAGCATTCACCACTATACCTGGTTCATTATGGGCATTTAACTGCTTCCAAAGCCATTTGGACTTTAATCACTTGTAAGATTTTTTAAGACCATGAATTCATGATCCATCCAAGTTTTTGGAGAATGATTCTGATGCCAGCATAAAAGAATTAGGGGCTGGGGATTTAGCTCAGTGGTTCTGCTGCCTGCCTTGCAAGTACAAGGTCCCGAGTTCAATCCCTGGTGCCAAAACACAAAAATAAAAAAAAAAAAGAATTGAGCCAGGCATGGTGGAGCATGCCTGTAATCCCAGCACTCGGGAGGCTCAGGCAGTAGGATCGCTGTGAGTTTGAGACCAGCCTGGGCTACATAGTGAATTCCAGGTCAGTCTCAACTACACAGTGAGACCCTATCTCAAAAAAACAAACAAACAAACAAAAAAGAATTTATGAAATGAAAGCCCATTCAACAAATGTTTATTGAGTGCCTATAAGCCACCAGGTACCAGGGATACAGTGGTGACCATACAGACACAATCTCCACCTTCGTGGAGTTTATGTTCTAGCTGGGGGAAGAAGAAGTGGTAGGAGAAGTACACAGTCAACAAACGATTGCAGAAAGTGATATTTGTTGTAAAGACAGTTAAGAAGGATAATATACTAGAGAGACAGAACTGGAATTGGAGGCTACTTTAGAAAGGGTAGTCAATGAAGTACTCCTGAGGAGGCGACTTAAAGCTGGACACCAGAAAGTAACCAGTCATTCACAAATCGTGGAAAGAAGTCAGGTGTGGTGGTGCACACCCGTAAGCCAAGCTCCTTGAGGCAGGAGATCATAACTTTGAGGCCATCCTGAGCAACTTAGTGAGACCTGTTTCAAAATAAAATTTAAAAAGCCTAGATTTAGCTCAATGATAAAATGCTTGCCTTGGATGTTTGAGGCCCTGTGTTCAATCCTCAGTGCTGCAAAAAAAAAAAAAAAAAAAAAAAAAAAAAAAAAAAATCATGGAAATACATTCTAGGCAAAGGAAATATCAAGTGCAAAGGCTATGAAATGGGTTCATGTTTGGTGAGTTCAGGAGATAGAAAAAGGCCTGTATAGTTAGAATGTGGTAATTAAGTGGCAGATCGCCTAATTACACAGGTTTTCTATGTGAAAGAGTTTTTATTTTAACCGAACATCAATAGGAAACCTTTGATATATTTTAAGCTGAAGATATAAAGCTGATTTGGTTTGTGTAATAAAAAGATGACTTTGTGTGGGTGTGTTAGCACATGTCTGGAATTCCAGTATGCTGGGAGGCTGAGGCAGGAGAACCACAAATTCAATCCCAGCCTGGGCAATTTAGTAAATCCTTGTCTCAAAATAACAAGTAAAAAAGAATGTATCTCAGTGCAAAGGCCTTGGGTTCAATCCTCACTATTGGGAAAAAAAATCCAGCAGATGAACTTTGGTGGACAAACTCAAACCCTAGGATTCCACTCCTAACCCACCACTGAGCTAAATCCCCGGCACATGGCCACTTAATTTCTTTTTTTGTTGTTGTTTTGTTTGGTTTTTTGAGACAGGGTTTCACTATGTAGTTGAGACTGACCTGGAACTCACTATGTAGCCCAGGCTGGTCTCGAACTCAGAGCAATCCTCCTGCCTCAGCCTCCCAAGTGCTAGGATTACAGGCGTGCGCCACCAAGCCCAGCATGACCACTTAATTTCTAAGAAGAGCCAGCTTTTTCCCCATAGCTCTTCTCTTCTTCTGAGTTCTCATCAGCATTGCCCTTAATACTCTCTCTGTTCATAGCAATCTAGGCTTTTCCTAGTTTACTTCTCCAAATTCTTCAATCCTCTCCTCATCAGTCAGTTTCAAAGCCAATTCCACATCTTTGGGTATTTGTTATAGCACTATTCCACTCTCATTACCAACTTTCTTAGTCAATTTTGTGCTGCTATAATGGAATACCACAAACTGGCTGACTTAGAATGTACAAAAATTTATCATCTCATGATTCTGGAGTCTGGAAAGGGGCCATCATCTGGCAAAGGCCTTCTTGCTATATTATCCCATGGTTAAAAGCCAAAAAGAAGACAAAGTGTGGGGTCCTGAACCCCTTCACATGACAGAGGCATTAATCTGTTCCTGAGGGATTTGATCTCCATGCCTCAAACACCATTAAGCTGCACTTCCCCACACTATATCATTGGAGATCAAATTTCCAACATTTGAACTTTAGGAAACATATTCAAAGCATAGCAATTGTGAGTGCAACAGAGAGTTCAAGTAGGCTAGAAGAGGAGCAGAGCGTGACACACATAATCCCAGCTACTCAGGAGGCTGAGGAAGGAGGATCACAAGTTCAAACCCAGTCCAGGCAATCTATCAATTTAGTGAGGGCCTGTCTCAAAATAAAAAAGAAGCAGGAGGTGGAGCTGTGACTCAGTGTGAAGGCCCTGAGTTCAATCCCCAGCACAAGAGGTGGGTAGGGAAACGAGGGATAAAATTTAGCATGAAGCCCTGAGTTCAAGCTCTAGTACTGAAAAAAAAAAAAAAAAAAAGTAGTGGTAGAATTGACACTTAAAAGACCACAATAATGGGCTTTTTGTGTCCATAGGCTTCTCCAACATCAACCAGACTCGACTTGATTTCCACTTCTCCTCTGATGAGACTGCTGGTGGCATGGAGATCCAGCAGGCCAGCTTCGTGTTCTTTATGCAGCTCCCTCCCGATACCACCTGGAGTATGAACGTGAAGGTCTTTGCCCTAAGACCCCATGATACCAACCTCACCATAGCTAGCCAGCATCTGCTGGAGGTGAATGCCAGTGGCTGGCACCAGCTCATCCTAGGGCCTGCAGCTCAGGCTGCCTGTAGCCAGGGGCACCTTACCCTGGAGCTGGTACCTAAAGGCCAGGTAGCCCAGAGCTCAGTCATCATGGGCGACACTGCCCATAGGCCTTTTGTGGCAGCCCGAGTAAGAGTAGGGGGTAAGCACCGGGTTCACCGACGAGGCATTGACTGCCAGGAAGGATCCAGGATGTGCTGTAAACAAGAGTTCTTTGTAGACTTCCGTGAGATTGGCTGGCAAGACTGGATCATCCAGCCTGAAGGCTATGCAATGAATTTCTGCACAGGGCAGTGCCCACTACATGTGGCAGGCATGCCTGGCATTGCTGCCTCCTTTCACACTGCAGTACTCAATCTTCTCAAAGCCAACACAGCTGCTGGTACTGCTGGAGGAGGCTCATGCTGTGTGCCCACAGTCCAACGGCCCCTGTCTCTGCTCTACTATGACAGGGACAGCAACATTGTCAAGACTGACATACCTGACATGGTGGTAGACGCCTGTGGGTGCAGTTAGTCTGTGTGTGATAAAGGCACCCCGAGGTGGAGAATACGCCACCAAAGAAGTGTCCTTTCTCAAGAGGAGAGAATGACCCCGTGCTTGCCTCTGTCCATAATGTGAACTGTTTCTTCCTGAACGACCTGTGGAAATTACTACACCTCCAATTTGAGGAGTTCCACACTAAGGAGTCATGGCACTGTCTTCGAGACCACCAACCTCTGTTCCAGAGCATGTTCTATCCACCACACCCTTCGTGCGCAAGCCCTTTCCACTTCAGGGACAGATCCACCTCTAAACATGAACAGTGCCATCTGGTTCTCAGGCAGAGACACCCTTAACTCACCCTTAATCAATCCCATCATCTACTGTGTCCCCCTACCCTTTCCACTTGATGGCCCCTACTCCCGGATGAGTTGATTCAACCCTCCCTTGATCTTTCTGACTCTCCAGAAAGTCTCTTCCTTAGTTTCATCAAACATTAAAATTACTGTTCTCCAACACGACGCTCACTTGCCTCTGTGTCTTAAGGTCCTTCCCCTCTCATCTGCACCTCCTCATCCATTCCTCGTCCTTCTCTGCTTTGCTGTGTGCCTTGGGGGGCTGATTAACCTGTACCGTATCACCTGAGCTTCCCCACCCTGGCTTCCTACTGGATTTGACTAAGGAGAGACCCAAGCAGAAGACAAAAGGATAGGAAGACACAGTGTATCTTCTTCCTGCTCCCCTTTACCCCTGTGCCATGCTTCTGTGCAACTGTGGCTGTGCTGTGTCCCTACAGCTCCTGTCTGCCTCCCCTCTTGCCTACCTCTAGCTCTGCCTAGGTTCTGAGATGCTGTTTCAACACTAGAAGGTTCTAATGGCTTTCCCCTTTCCCAGCCCCTAGTGCTTCAACATCCTTTATGGTTGCCCTTATCTCTGTCTATATCCTTTGTAAATAACTGCTCCAAAGTCCTCTTGAAGAAGCAGACACAAATAGCTGAGCACTCCCCCATTTCCTGCTAGGAGCCAAAGTGACACCCCAGATGACACAGAGCCTGCCTGAACTCTCTGCTTGCTTTTCACACAGAGCCCTCGGGTCTGAGATACTGTGTCCACCTCATGTTTCACAGCTCTTCCTCCCCCAGGCTGCCTCCTCTTCTTCCTCAGCCTCCCTCCATCCTCCTGGAACTGTCATTTGATGGTCTCATGGCTAACAAAGAACTAGTTTTTCCTGTTCACCTCCTACCTCTGTACTCAGAGATGAGACGATCGATGATCAATCATCAAGTAAGCTGACACTCTGTGGACACACAGGTGGTGGGAGGCTGAGGCATGCTCAGGGCTGCCTGCCAGGACCGCTGGCTCGCTCTTTTTTCACCCCCCCCAACCTCCCAGCTTTCCTCCAGGAGTCCTGCCTGGCAGCTGGAAATGACAAGAGCCTGTTAAGTAGAACAGGGTGAAGAGGAAGGTCTGGGACAAGGAAAAGGTGGCATTCGCTCTGTGAATGGGTGTTCTTTAGACCTTTGCTCTCTTCCCCCCACCATCTCCTCCCTTTGGCTGGACCATGGGGTCGATACTGTCTGCAGCCCAAGGCCGAGTTTGCGCAAAGCCCATGTGTCCTTTGGGGAACGTGATGTCTGTATTTGCTCAGCTTATAACCCCCTCGGAGCAGGGTAAGAGGTCCCTGGAATGGGGAGGCTAGAGGAGAAATTCTGAAAGGGAACTTCTGAGGGTATGGTATGGAAGTCCCAGCTGTGGGGATTCCTGAGAAGTCCACAGAAGTTATCCTACCTTTACCAGGCGTGAAGGCCCACACCTGTAACCCCAGAACTCATGAGGCTGAAACAGGAGGATCACTATGAGTTTGAGGCCAACCTGGGCTACATAGTGAGTTCAAGATCAGCCCGAATTACAGAGTGAGACCCTGTCTCAAAAAAAGCAAAAACAAACAACAACAACAACAAAAATGTTATCCCACCTTTGACTTGAGTACACTTTCATCTAGAGTGAGCTTCTGGTGTCTGTCCTCTCCTTTCTGACTGCATCTCCCACTCCACTCCTCTTCCATTTCAAACCTCCTTCCCTCCAACTACAGCTTCAGTCCCCAGGACAAAGCCTGGGTTAAGACAACGTGAGACACTCATCTTGGGGGCAAACTTTTTAAAGAGAAAGAAAAAAGAATCAATCAAAACAAGCCATACTTTAATATATTTTTAAGCATCAAAATTAATGCAAAAAAGTCCATGACGAACAGAACAGCATATTTTAAAATAAATATGGGATCCATACTATTCCATTTTTTTTTTTTTTTTTGGCTCTGCTTTTTGAAAAAAGGGAACAAGCCAAACATTATCTTCCTGAGCTTCCAAGCCCTACCTCTAGACTCCTTCAGGGTGTTCTCACTGGGACAAGATAAGTACTCCCACTTCTATTTCCTTACCGACCCCCAAGCCTGTTGCCACCCCCCAGCCCCCAACCAGGTTGATGGTGGGGCGGGCAGTGAAGCAGATGGCTGGGGTATTTATAACCCGGGAGCACTTCTTGGGAAAAGTGACTAAGATACTGCGAGCATATTTATAGCTGAGTTCTGACGTAAGTGTCAGTGGGGAGGTAGGGCCAGGCCCGGCACAGCAGCGAGAGGGTGGGCAGAGCTGGAAATTGGGGGCACCTGACAGAGAGAGTGTGGGAGAGGTGGGGTCAGTGATTCCCAAAGCCACTTCTTGCTACTTCCCCTTGCAATTTCTGTCTCCTGGCACCACGAAGTAAGCTCACCTAGGTACCACCACTGGCAGATACCCTCCACTTTGTAATTTCATGTCCCAGACCCCAGGGGCTAGAGGGCCATCCCTCACCTGGGATCTGGGATCTGGGGAGAACATTGGCCAGAGGGCTTGAATATGTATCAGGGCCTGGGGAGAGATGCAGGGTGGACAGGAGTGTCTAAGAGTCTCACTGACCCATCTGCTTCCTCCCCAGGACATGGCACCCTGAATTTCTAGGGAAAGCCTGGCACCTATCACCAAGCTCTGTTGCCATGTGTCAGTATGGTGAGATCTAAAACCAAAGGTAGCAGTGATGCAGACCTGAGAACAGCTTCCGTCCTCTGGCAGTGGTGACAGGGAACAGCAGAGGAACCAGGTCCTCCCTGACTCCTATTGGGGAAATAGAGAGAGGTATACTCCCCATCTCTCCACTCCCAGCCTCTTCCCTGTCTCTGGGAAGCTCTGGTCAGCTGTAAGCCAGCTGCTGTCCAGTAGCACAGCTCTGCCGCGTGGTGGACAGTGGTGGTACTGAAATCCAGTGCTCGGTGTGACCCATCTTCCCTGGTCCAGGACTAGTGCTCCCTTGACGGCCCCACCAACTAAACAGGGAAAGGAAGAATAAGTGGAAGGGGACACATTTCTAAATCACACTCCCTTTCCCCACAGCTTTCTCTCTGACACCTCCTCCAGCTTCTTGAAGAAACTGGGGCATGAGGGGAAAAAAGTTAGCCTGAGGCCCATCCACTTCCTTTCCCATTTAAAGTCAGTGAAGGCCAGGGACCATGGCACATGCCTGTAGCTCCAGCTTCTCGGGAGGCTGAGGCAGCAGGATTGCTTGAGCCCAGGTGTTTAGTACATGCGAAAGAATGATAAGTAGGTACGGAGGGCTGAGACTGGGAAATAAGGTTGCTGTACTCTCCTTGCTGCATTCTTATGTTTTTGTTGTTATTCATGTTTTGGTACCAGGGATCGAATTCAGGCCCTTGCCCTTGCGAGGCAGGCAGTGGAACCACTGAGCTAAACCTGGCCCTCCTAGCTTCATTCTTTTTTTTTTTTTTTAATCGTATTGCTTGCTTCATTCTTAAAAGCCCTCAAGCTTCCCACTTCCCAGCTTCATTAACAGAGGCTGGCTGGCACCACTTCTAGGATGCTTCAAATTTAGGCAATTCTTACAATGCCTTGAAGCAGAGAACCAGCAGCTGGGTACAGAGCCTCCCAAGTTGCATGCCCTCCTGCCATCCTGGATAGCTGAACTCTGCCCTGTTGTAAGGTTTCATCACCCCACCCCCGACCCTCTGGGTTTCCCCAGACATCGAGGTAGCACGTCCCCAGCTTTTTCTCTGGCGCTCCTCCACATTGCACTCCAGTCCAATTGGACTCTGGGCAGCCAGCACAGGCAGGGTCATGGGGTGACTTCTGTGTCCCGTGGCACTGCCACCTTGGCCTGAGCAAGAGAACTCCACTCTCTTACCACCACCACCCGGCCCTGAGCCCCTAGCCAAGCCCCTGTGTTAGAAATAGAGACCAGAATTCTCCTTCGGGCCCAGAGGCTCCAGAGCAATAAACACTGGCACCCACCGCTGCCTCATGGAAACTGCTGCAGCAGGATGGCTGGGCAATATAGGCAGACATTGGGAGAAACTGCCCTTCCCCACCTGGCACATACGGAGTCCCTCCTCTGAGTCCCAGACCTTGGGAACTGAGCATGTGAAATCATCCCCTTTCTTGCATCATACATGTCCACATTGCTGCCCCCTTACCTCTACCTCAAGCCACCAGAGTCAGATGGTGAAACCCGAGCTGAGGTGGGGACCGCCACCCCTGCAGGGGCCTGATGGGCAGCACAGCTGGCCAATCCTAAGGCTCAATGGGAAGGTCTGCTGGCTGACTCCTAGGTGGGGGAGCCCCAGGCAGTTGGCTCTAAAGAGGCCCCAGGTCAGTAGCCAGTCATGAACTCTGAGGGTCAAACCTAGCTACCCATCAGACAACCCACTTTCAACTTTCCTGAGTCCCAGGCCATATAAGCGGCTCTACCCTTTGTCAAGGGTAGCTGTGGCACTGACATCTGCCACTGCTGAGCCTTCGTTAGCTTCAATGCAATCAGAATCAATAGAACAGAAACTGCCATCTTGGGGTACTGAGCCAGGACCATCCACAGGGAGCATGGGGCTCCCTAATGTCCAGCTCTGGCTGGTGCTGCTGTGGGCACTAGTGTGGGTACAGGCCACAGGATCTGCATGCCCATCCTGTGAGGGCCCAGCACCGGCGCTTCCAGCAGAACGAGCTGTGGTCCTGGAGCTAGCCAAGCAACAAATCCTGAAGGGGTTGCACCTGACCAGTCGTCCCAGAATAACTCATCCTCCACCCCAGGCAGCGCTGACCAGAGCCCTCCAGAGACTACAGCCTGAGACTATGGTTCCAAGGAAAGAGCAAGAAGTCATCAGCTTTGCTACCATTCCAGGTGGGTGAGGAGACAAACAGGAAGCCAACAGGGAAGGGAAGGAGAAGGGAGGCTGACAGGAGGTAGGAGTGGGGTGTAGCAGGAGGAGGAGCTGGGCAGGGAATGGTTACAACGACACAGGCAAGTCTCTGCTTTTTCTAAAGCTGGATGTGAGGGAGTTTCAAAGGGGAGCTTCATCTCTGCTCACATTTCTCTTTCTTTTTGCTGTCCTTACGGCAGACTCCTCCACTTCAATCTGCAGCTCCATGCTCACTTTCTACCTGTCCACTCTTCAGTCCCACCACCTATACTATGCCCGCCTCTGGTTGCATGTTCTTCCCACCCTTCCTGGCACTCTTCACCTGAAGATCTTCCAATGGGGTACAAGGAGGAGGCACCGAGAGTCTCATGGCCTCCTGGTTGAACACCACATAACTACTCCGGGCTGGCATGCCCTGATTCTGCCCTCTGGTGGTTTGAGGGGTGAAGAGTCTGGTATCGTGAAACTCAGGTTGGACTGCAAACCCTTAGAAGACAACAACACAGCGGCTACTGGACAACCAAGGCAGCCCCTGGACACAACAGAGCACCATCGTCCCTTCCTAGAGCTTAAGATTCGAGCCAACGAGCCTGGAGCAGGTCGGACCAAAAGAAGAACCCCCACCTGTGAGCCCAAGACTCCCTTATGTTGTAGGAGAAACTACTATGTAGACTTCCAAGAACTTGGATGGCGGGACTGGATCCTGCAGCCAGAGGGGTACCAGCTGAATTACTGCAGTGGACAATGCCCCCCTCATCTGGCTGGCAGCCCCGGCATTGCTGCCTCCTTCCATTCTGCAGTCTTCAACCTCCTTAAAGCCAACAATCCTTGGCCTGCAGGTACCTCCTGCTGTGTACCCACTGCCAGAAGGCCTCTCTCTCTCCTCTACCTCGACAAAAACAGCAATGTGATCAAGACAGATGTGCCAGATATGGTGGTGGAGGCTTGTGGCTGCAGCTAGCAAGAGGACTGGGGGTTTAGAGTGAAGAGATTAGGTAGGGGGTTCCTAGGAAAAGGGTATCTGTGTCTAGAGGCATCAGGTTTTCTGATCCATACTCCTACTCAACAGGCTGCCTGGCAGTGTGACTGGGTTGACCCCTATGGAGCTCAAATGGACTCTCTTGTCCCAGATACTGGCTTATTTCAGGCTGGTTGATGTGTGGAGTGATGGGTAAAGTGTTTCTTGTACAGGGGACTCCCCAAACAGCATGATTTCCTACCCTGTCCCCTGTGAGAAAATGGCAGGGGATAGTGGGGGAGGTAGGGAAGGAGAAGGCAGAGAAAAATTAGTCTCTCCCAAAAATTGAAAGTCTTCAGGCCAGGGATTTAGCTTAGTGGTTCTGCCACTTGCCATACAAGCACAAGGACCTGAGTTTGATCCCCAATTTAAAAAAATGCCTTCAAATAAAGGAAGAAGGAAGCAGAAGGCCCAGAAGGCTGGGATGGGGCAAAGAGGCTGGCAGAGGACAGGAACTGTTGAATGCTTTTTTTTTTTCCTTTGGAGACAGGATCTATTGGCTCAGGCTGGCCTCAAACTCTTGATTCTCCTGCCTCAACCTCTCAAGTTCTGGGATTATAATCATGCACCAGCATCCCCAACTTAAGTGCATTAATTTAAGGGAGAGTCAAAAGGGACATGGGCAAGGTGCTGGGGAGGGTATTTAGGAGAGCTCCAGAAAGAAGAGTAAGGGCTAAGGATTTGGTTAAGTGGTAGAGTGCTTGCCTGGCATATGTGAGACCCTAGGTTCAATCCCCAGTACAAAAAAAAAAGAAAAAAAAAAGAGTCGAGAAAAATGGGTGCAGTGTCTAAGAAGCTGTCTGGTTTTCTCTGGGGGACAGAACCATTGGGGAGACAAACATTTATAGTTTCTTAATAAAGATAAGAAAAAAAATCAGCAAATGTGAGTCATGAAGAAAGGCTGAGGTGATGGTCCACTGCAATGGTTCTCAAATGTGATCTGTGGACTTCTGGAAGGTCTCTCAGGTCCTTTCAAGGGTTTCCACAAGGTCAAAAGTACTTTCATAATAATACTAAAATGTTATTTGCCTTTTACATTCTCGTCTTAAAATTGTGCAGTGAAGTTTTCCAGTGTGACATGTGATTATATCATCTTTCTGACATCACTGTTAATGGAATGTGAACTTGTGTATTCTCGTTATGATTTTTAAAATTTCTAATACGATGAATTGATGGATACAAGGCACATGCAAAAAAAAAAAAGCTCAGTAATTTAAAATAGTATACTGAAGTCTAGAAACCAAAAAGCTTAAGGATTACTGATTTTTGCCAGGCATGGTGATGCATGCCTGTAATCCCAGCATTTAGGAGGCTGAAGCAGGAGGATTGCCATGGGTTTGAGGCCAGCCTGGGTCTCCTAGTGAGTTCAAGTCCAGCCTAGATTATATAGTATGATCCTGTCTCAAGAAACAACAACAACAAAACAAACAAACAAAGAATTACTAATCTATCTTGTGTTCCAAAAGAGCTTCCTAGAAGAAGGGGCAAGCAGCTGATCAGAAAGATACAGGATCCCTTCTTTTTCATTGACTGGGCCTGACTGAGTTGGGCCTGACCTTCTTAGTATAACTGGTCTGAGTCAGTCATGTGGGGACATAGGTTCAAATGCAGCTCTTATCTGACCCCACCCCCACAGTCATTACCTATATTTGTAGGACCCCCCCCATCTGCCCTAGCTCATCTTTTCCCCATCTGACCCTCAGAGGGAACAGTAAACCCACTGACCTTCCAGGCATGAGGAAGCGTCCTTGGAAGCAAGCGAGGATGTGAGAGGTCTGGCTAAGAGGTGACAGAAAGAGAAAGGGACTCCTTTCTCTCACCATCCTGTCTCCTATTTCTTAGAAAGGTCAGAGACTGAAATAGTTGCCCTTCCCCTGCATCTAGTCACTATGGCAACACAAATCCAAAGGGAAAGCGCACTCCCCTCCTCGCATTACCTCTGGGGGCTAGAAGCCTCCTGGACTGTACCCGCCCCCGCGTCTTCTTTGGGCCCACACTTGCTCCTCTCTGAGATCCTGACTGAACTTTGGTGCAGAACCTCTCTCAGGGTTCCTTCTTCAACTCCTGGTCTGCATTCAATCGGAGTCCAAGAAGGTGTCATGTGTGAGACTGGCCAGCAGAGGGAGCAAAAAGCCTTAAAGAGCGGAAAGAAGGCAGTAGGGAGAGGTGCGGCGGTGGCCTCAGCCTGCAGAAAGAGCCGGGTTTCCTGGGAAAGGTGCTTCAGACCTCCAGCTTCTTAGTGACCTTGTGAACGCACATCCTACACTCAGAGCTTTAGTCTCTGCATCTCTCTTTTATGCTCTGTAGACCCACTAACCTTCCTCCACAGCCACAAACCCTTAAATTCAGCTTGCTCAAACCCAACTATGTCCCAACCTTAAATTGTATGCAAAGGGAGAGGCTGGCCACAAACCAGAGAGTTGACGGACGCACAGCTAATACCAAAGAT